GGGCTGGACACGGACACGGAGCCGGCCCCGGCAACGTGCGGGGCACGGGCTGCATCCCCCGGCAACGTGCGCACGGCACGGGATGGGTGGGATGGGACGGGATGGACGGGATGGGACGGGATGGACGGGATGGGACGGGACAGGATGGGATGGGACGGGATGGGACGGCCATGGAGACCCACAGCCGCCGGGCACATCGAGGGAAATAGGAGAGTCCCTAATGAGGTGCAGCATCGGCGGCGGCTCCCAGCAAGCGGTTAGGCCGAGTGATTGCTCCTTCTTTCAAGCGGGAAAAAAGAGCTACCCGGTGGAATGGCACAATGGGTGGCTTGAAAATGTCCAGATTTAGCTGAAATCAGATGCGAGGTTTTGACTGCTTCCTCCCATTCTTCCTGTGCCTGGAAGTGTTGATTTCAAATAAATAGAACAGAGTTATGCAGGTCTAAAAAATAATCTCTCCCAAGGTAAAGAATAGCTTGCTATGAGGGACTAACCTAGCTTCATTGATCTCATTGACCTTCATTAATCTTCATTGATCTCAAAAGCAAGAGGGAATATGTGGGAAGTGGAATGTAAACCATGATAGTTACAGCAGTACGGGATTAAAACTTTCTGTTGGGTCAAAACATATGAAAAGAGCAAAGCCAAAACAAGGTAAAACTAGGAGGATGCACTGAGTATWAGAAGGAACTGATCTTACACCGGTCCTTTCTCTAGAGAGAAAGGCCAAGGAAAGCTTGGTAACAACAGGAAGGGCAATTTATACACTGAGGACATCGAGAAAGCTGAAGGATTTAATATCTTCCAGCACTGATTTCCACCAAGAAGATCGCTAGTGGCCAGGAGGCTAGCACCATGCCAGCAATAGGAAGAAAGCTAAAAACCTTTAAATATGGAAGGAATGTGCAGGAAGGGACCAGTTAGACTTTATAATTTTCTCCTGATGCTCTTAAAGAATTTGTTGATAAAAACTCGGACCTGCTAATTCTCTTTGAGAGAGCTCTGGGAGGACAGGCAAGTTGCAATAGAAAGGCAAATAGGTGCTCCTCTTGGAAAGGGAAAAAAGAGGCAAGTCTGATTAACCTGACTCTGACTTTTTGACTTGAAGTCCCAGAAGAAACATGAGACCAGAGAATTGATTATTGATAATTGCTCACTACACACAGCTGCAATATAACAAGCAGACGTACCAACAACAACAGCAACTTGCTGGGGACCAATCTGCAGGGAAGGCAGAAGCACAGGGTTGGCCAGAGCCTGCAGCTGCACAAATGCAGGATAGGGAATGACTGCACAGGTAGCCGCAATGTGAGGAAGAATTCCAGGGACAGAGTGAATATCAGACCGAATATCCAAGCCAGCTCTGCCATGCCTATCCTAGGATGAATAAAACTCAAAATACTGTGGGATTTCCCTCTCTGCATGTCTGTAAGAACAAGTTAGGGAAAATTCTGTTAGACAAGTCTCTCTCTTGGGCAGAGCTGTGGTAACTGCTTGGGATACTCTCTAGTACTTCGATTTTATGACTTAAATGTAGAAACTCTGATCAAAAATTTGCYTGCATCAAGACGAGTCTCTACCAGACTTCATTTTTACTAGACTTACTTTTTACAACTTTTATGATCCAGCGCATGTTAAGCTCTAGATTTTATTTTCTCTAAGACTGCATAGTCATCTTCCTTTTCTTTTTTCTTTTTTTTTTTTTTTTAACTCTGCCCTGTCCTCATTGCAGCAAGGTTATAAGCAGGTGTTATTGGGGAGCTGCTGCAGCTGGGGCAGGTACAGCAGGTTACAGAATATCCTTCCTGCATCCTGTGCCCTTCGCTGTCTTTCATGACACCTCAAAACCTAAGATTTTTTTTTTCCCAGACATGCACAAGCAAGACATCCCTCAGGACTGCTTCCTGAAACATGTTCATGAAAAGTTTTAATTCCGGGAAAAAAAATCGGTTTAGTTCACCACCATTGAAACCAATTGTAGACCCTAAATGCTCTTTATCCCGTTGTTTTGGTGGGATTGAGCAAAACTGTAAAAGAAATCCTATATAGAAAATCTGTAGCAGACTAAGAAGACGGGTGTTAATCAAAAACACTGCCAGATGTGTGGACATTCCATGTTTTAATACTCTGGAAAGCTACATGAATTGTATGGCCAGCACAAATGAAATTATGAACATGCTCTGCTGGCATCAGGATGGCAGGGGATGGTGCTGATCCTGTCAGCCCCCAGCTCGGATTATGTGGGCCAAGTGTCTGTRCAACCGCAGCTTCCTTCCCTTTAACCTTAAGAAACATAAACTCCTAGATGTCTTTGCAGACCTGACCTTCCATGCATGAATAACTTTAAGTGTTTTTTATTTTTTCATATTTTTGAAATTTTTATCTCATCCTTAAGCAACTTTGAAAGTATCAGTGGTTCTTTTTTCAAGGGATCTGTTTCTGGTGGTGCTGGAGATGGTTTCCACTTTCAGTAAAAGCGCCTGGGAATGATACAGAGGTAGATAAAACATTCTGCTAGTGCATATTTCCAGGTAAGGTAAACGCTATTTTCTAAAAAATGCCTATAGCTTATCAAAGTATCTTATATTTGTTCTGCCTAAACCTATTTCCCTTACAGCTCAGGGCCTCTTTATTGCATGTATCATACAAAAAATGTCTGAATTTGAGAGTTACTGCATGAATTTGCATGAATTTCATTCATGCAAAGATCAAAAAGTCACACCCAGCTAAACACAGAAACAGAAATCATTTACTAAAATTGTCTTGAATCAATGAATATCCCCATATCCAAATACCTATCATATAAGCCACTTATAGACAGAACTGAAGAATTTCAACTACCCAAATGATTGGGGGTTTTTTTACCTTTTCATATAGAAACAGTGTATGAATATCTTCAGTAGTTATATAACACATTAACGTAACTGAAATACCTCCCAAATGGCTTGTAATGAGGTTATCTCAGCTCCAGTTTCCCAGGAACTCTTTGAAACAGCCCAGTATGGATTAGCACCTGAGGGAGGCTGCTGAGCTTGGCCAGGCACTTTTTAATTGTAGCAGCAGATCAGATCAAGCTTTGCACCATTAATCATTTACTTCTGAGCTTCCCTGTGTGTGCAGGAGAGGAAACTGCAGCCTCCCTGCGTGGACTCCTTAGGGCTTCCCTCAGTAGTTGCTGTCTATCTCATTAAAGACTATTATGATTTCTAGGAAGACGGAGAAGTCAGACCAACTCCTGCCTAGGGGAAGCTGCGTCCTCTGTGGCTCTGGAAAAGCCAGTATTAAAGCGATGGTTAGAGCCTGGCTCTGTCCTCTCCGGCTCCTTAGCTCTTTATCTTCTAGCTGCTGAATGTGTGCTTTGAGTGTTGATATTCCAGGTCTGCCACTTGTTTCTATCACAGGGAGCAGGACTTCCATAGTCCCATAGTCCCTGTAACCACATGTTTCACTACTACTCTAATTACAACTACATAAGAGCAAAGCTGCTTTTTTAAGAGGAAATCACGGCATATTTTTTGCATATTCCTTCTCAAATCCTTGAGAAGGTCACAGCTGCTTCAACAGCTCCCTGCAGCTCTCTCTGTCCACAGAGCAGTTCACCGTCCACTTTCCTCTTCATTCTTAGGCTTTTCAAGTGACTTAGTGCCCTTCTGATCTCTGGGCTTGCAGCTTTGCCTGTCAGTTCTTTGGCCAAGACCCTGGAAGCAGCATCGTCACTGGGAGTAGCACAACCACTGTCTTCTGAACATCCATAAGGACAAGCTGGGAAGCTCTTATTTTAAGACCACCAAGTGAGTTTCTGTGTCTCTACATCTCATATTGAATTATAGCGACATAACTCATAAGGGAAACCTGAGTCAGACCGAYCAGACACAGAGTGCTGTGACACCGGCCAGGTGACATCGGGCATTCAGCCAGTTCTGTCCAACCAACACACAGCAGCTCCGCCTGTGCCGAGGCTTTTCTGAGGMCAGTTTGTTCCACAATGACCCTGCAAGTTCCACCATACAGCACATTCCACACATGACTGCATTAAGCCCTGGAAAAGATGTTGAGGGAACAGGCTTCAAGTTTAGGAAGTTTATGGAAAAGGATTATGAAATATGGTTGACCTCAATAGCAGTGCCTGGATGCAGTGACCTGCAAGGTCCATTCAGGACTTCGCTGTATAGTCTTATAGTAGCAAAACAGTGAAGAACATTGTCCTCTTTTTCCTTTCTAAAGGCTGTGGAAGTGCCTTGACTGCAGTTTGCATTAACTATCACACCAGTAAAGCCACGTCACATTATTTAAGCATGTACATCCTGCAGTCCAGAGCACTTCTGAACAAATACAGTCAGAGAAATGGCCAAGGGTTGAATTGTAGGCTAAGACATACAAACAACGCCCAGACACAGGCTTGGTTTGGTTGCCRACTCTCTGCATATATTAGCTCTGTATCTACCTATCAATGTCTACCTAGATACTCTATTTACACATCTATTTATCTACATTAAGCCCAAGCTAGYGCTCAAGTTTAGGTTTATCTCGTTCTCCTATGGATGAAAGCCCACAGTGAGCTCTAAGCTTGGACAAGCTCTGCAGCTCACCAAGAAAAAGCTCTGTGTAGCACAACCAGCTGTTGAAGACACACACATCTGGGAGGGTGCCACAGCCTGTGTTGCCTTGGGGAAYTAAAAGGCACAGAAAATGACTGCCCCGTGGAGTTTAGTCATCTGTACTGCTCAGTTKTTCGTACCGCTCTGACACGGTCCCTGCTGCAGTTTGGGCTCACACCTGATGTTGTTCTCCTAGACAATCCCTAAGCCCAGCTCAAGAATCAGGATGGGCCAGGGACCAGTCCCCACTGGTCCTACACATGTGGACTCCCTGTTTGGGTACACAGGAGAACATAACAGCATAAGCTTTTCTAAGGCTATATATAGGCATAATGTGGGCATATTTGCCTGAGCCTATATATAGAGGCATAAAAAATGTGTCTCAGGGCAAAGATCATGCCTGGTCAGCAGTCTCATGAAACTCAGAAGGAGACCGTAATTGGAGAAGTTTTCTGGATGCCATCAAATTAATAATATCTGGCATCTGGTTTCCTTTCATTTTCTCATGTTTCTCCTTTTGCTATTTTGTAACTTTTCCAAATGGCTTTTGCAATTCCTTGTCGAAAAGAATAGAAAGAAAGCAAGCAAGAAAGCAAGAAAGAAAGAAAGAAAGAAAGAGATATATCATTCATTTTGTTGCCTTCATAGGCAAAAAGAGGGAAGAGATAAAAATGAAGAAACACTGTAAATCAAAGTCTCAACCACCAATTTATTTTTCAGAAATAAGGTTTTAGAAAATAGCTATGTTCTGAGTGCCAAAATACAAAAACTACATTGAAATCTGGAAGAAGAAAGGATTTATTTCCTATAATCTAGTTTACCTTTTTTGATTAGCCCTCTAAATTCAGTGGGACATGTTCTACTGATTTTCCACTGTTAATTGGTATAACTTGAACAGGGCTACATATATTTCTGACAGCTGAGGCTATGTTTAATATTTCTTTCTTTTACAGGCTATAAAAGAAAATTCTTTCTTCCAACAGACACATTTCTTAATAACATCACTTAATCTTGTAACGCAGCAGTTTCTCTTAGGCTTCTTTAGAAAACACTTCATATACTCCTTCCAAAACCATACAGCGATTACTTTAAATTTGCTCTCATAAYATTGCCAATTTTTGCATTAAACAAATTCTACTGAATTTCATGCTCTAAACCCCTGGACATTTCAGTTGTAAGTAAGAAAACAACCATCCCCATACCAATCTTTTCAAACTGTGCAAAATTACCTCCTCTATGAACATTAGGATTCTGCTCTAGCAGAAGCTCCTCCATGTTTTTAAACAAATTGACTTTGCAGGATTCATTAACTGAGCCTGAGTTAAAACTTTCTCCTTAGAGACGTAAACTAATAACTCTTACTCATTATGTGCATGAGATCAGATTATACAACCCCAAACTGAGAGCAGAAATACATTTGGAAGGAGAACTGAGTGATTTTTCCTCACTGAGTGATTTTTCCTCAAGCCAAATCAGTGAGCTCTAAAGCCTAGAGCATATCCAACTTTTTCCCCTTGTGGGCACGAGCAGAATTGCCTGGAGCTGCTTCCAAAGATGCTTCCCCATCAAAGCAGCGCAGACAGGAGCTGAGCACAACCTCTAACACCACCAGCTTTGGGGCTGCTGCTCCACAGTGGTCCAGAACTGCTCTGGCCAGATGTGCAGCTGTGTGAGATGCCCAGCAGTGTTGCGGTTACTCACAGTTCACCCCAGGATGAGAAGAAAATGGTTTTTATTTTATGTTCTTTTTTTGTTGGTATCAAAGCAATCACAGAGTTCCCTTTTCATTAGACTATGGCCCTTAACACATGGCTGCATGTGAAGAGAGAATAACAAGTTTAGAATCAAACTTTATTGCTGTTCTTGTTTTGTTCTCTTTCAAACTATTTTTTCCTGAATTATACAGCAGTTCATAGCATAATTTAGCTCTATGCATGATTTTAGTAATGTTCCTCAGAGAACATTTCTGTCTCAAACCTGCTTTTCATTTTAGAACATAAGAAAACACTCCTAACTTCAACATAACCTTGAAACA